CCAGAAAATTGAAACTTTGAAAATCCAGTTTTGTCGCCCGAAAATTGCATTGGATATACTTTCAATGACAAACTCGTCATTCAAACAGAAAAGACCAAGAACTTTTATGATATGTGTACAGCAGTACGTACCATCTACTTTTTGTTGAGTCGTATCAGATCTGTTCTCTGAATCCGCATATAGATATCAGGTTAAAGTATCGAATTTTAGGGCTGCAAAACTGGATTTTCAATTTTCTGGTCATTCTTCTAATGTAGCAAGTTAAATCAACCCTACCCCACAGCATACTGACATCTGTGAAGCACAAATGCGATGTCACTGTTGCTTGTTTAGTACCGTAGGCTGGTTCTAGCTATTTATGGGTGGTGCCCTTAAAATAAGAAGACTCCTGGCGTAGCTTGTTTTGGGGATATTTCAAACACTTGATGACGAAAATGTGCTAAGAAAGAACAGTAAGTTTTAGTATCTGACAGATTTCCTCGTTTAGAATGTTGTTTTGTTTTGCCGCCCTAAAATTGCATTGGATGCCTTTTTTAAAAAAACGACGTGTACACTTACCATTTGGCCACGATGACACTGATGGAGTCGAAGTCTGAGAATGTTTTCCTGCAGAAGTAGTACGGAGAAAACTGTCCCCGGCTGGCGAACATTTGGACACTCTGCTGGACTCTTGAGTCAGATGTTCCCCTACCCAGCTGCCTGGATCCCACAGACCAGTTGTGCTGTCAAATAAACCAGCCAAACAAGCAGGCAGGGCGTGGCCTATCACTGAGTATCAGGGCTAGAAATCCTGGGTGTATGCAGGCAGACCCGGTGTTGAGCCAAATCCTTGAGCTGCCACATACATGAGAGGTCAGGTGTTTAGGGCTAGGGCTAGGATTAGGGTTGATATTGGAGTTAGAGTCAGGGTTAGAGTTGGGATCATTGTTCAGGGCTAGGGTTAGATTTGCGATTGGGGTAGGTTAGTCTCCACATCACGACTAAACCCCTCCCCACCGTGTATACCCCCCCCCCAAAAAAAAACATCACCACCTTGACCTTAAAAATGCTACCCAAATGAGCAGACATGGCCTGGTATAAATATTATAAATGCACCAAGTGACAGCAATTTTGGAGACCAGTTTGGCTGTTTTATTTAGTTGTTTTCGGCCTTAGCATCAGAAGTGTGATACTCAAAAGATGGCAGGACCAGATAGTACATGACACAGAATGGTCCCTGGGACCGTGCTGCCAGGCGGGAAAAAACTGAAGAGGAGCCTTTTTCCCGCCAGGCATCCGAGCAAGGGGCCAGTTCTGGCCTAAGCATTTAGGCAGGTAGGCGGGATCTGGCCATATTTTATTCACAAATGTCTGTGACCAGCCTTACGAGTCCATTGTTATGCAGTAAGGTAAAGAAGTTATGTTCAATGATAAAGTTATGGCGACTTCTGTGCTTCTCGGCAACGGATATTTTGTCATAGTAGTTATAAAACAGCGTCCTGTTGCGCATGTCCGTGGCAAATGGGTAGAAGCCGTACATAGTGATGACGTCACAGAACCTAGATGCCAGGATGTAGGCAATTAGCCCGGATGTTGGAGACTTAAAACCGGGAATAAACGTTTCACGTAGAGGCCTGAAAAATACAAATGCTTTAAATGTTTAAAGTTAAAACTTTCGATCCAACACAAAAAGTTCTCTCACCTAGAGCTTTCTACCAGTCACTCTGGTCTTCCTCAGTAGACTTTCTTTGAAATGTGACGTCAACACGGGGTCAAAGGTATCTGGTAGATGATGTCGGCCCCCGTCGCGGTTAAGTGACGAGTGACTGGTCGAAAGCTCTAGATGAGAGACCTTTTTATGTTGGATCGAAAGTTTTAACTTTAACATGTAACTACCAACACAGATGAACTTTCACGATAGTACAAATGCTTTAAAGATAGTAATTAAAGATAATAGGAAGTAATATTATGTCGATCTTATCATTGATCTGCTAATCATAGACCAGGATATTATAAAGGTCTTGGTATTATGAAGGTCAAGTTATAATGAAGGTCGATGGTTATTATGAAGGTCAAACTATTATGAAAGTTAATGTAAACTCGCTATTCAGCCCCGGGGCTGCAAAGAGCTTTACAAAAATACAAATGAACAAATCTATCTATATTTGATTAGTATCAGTTTAGCTTACAATTTAAGACGTTGGACATTACTATTCTTACCTTGTAAATACAAGTGGAACATTGCTACGTGAGTACGTGACGGTAATGTTCAAGTTATTATCCTTTAGAATAGTTTCCAGTGATTTCAGAGCAGAGATGGCTACACGAGTCCTTAATTTCACGTAACTGAAGACACTGCCGTTCAGTAGGGCTAGATATTGAAGAACTCGTTTTCTCTTGTATGCTATTGCGTTTCCTAGCTCCTTAATTCCCTTCCAGTTGATGAAAGATAAGTTTGTTTGTCGTCCAACGTCCTGAAAATGAGCAGAAATTGAAAACACAATGAACAATAAATATTGAAAAATAAGCTTGCCAGGGTTCAAAATGTGAATAGGTGAATAGATGGTGTGATGACGATGTGTGACTCAAATAATTGGTCACCTTGGTGTATTGAATAGGACTAATGCTTATATTAGACTAGATTATAATCTGAACAAAGTATCTTAATAATAACAAAATAATAATAATAATAACTAGAAAGGTAACATTTGCAAAGTAAATGCATAATGTTTACCTTCGCATACGGTCTCTTCTTAGACTGTTAATTCTCACTAAACACATTCATATATATGGTAACAGCAGCCTAAATCCCTCCTGCTATAAAACTGCAACATGATGTATCCCAACACCAGTTACCATGGTCACAGTCATCTAGTTCAAATCATTGACCTTTGGTGTTTGGAGAAGAGGAGGCAGAGGAAACAGATCAAAAGCAATATGTTTTCCTTCGGTAAACATAAAAATAAGCTTGCCAGGGTTTAAAATATGAGTAGGTGAATGGATGGTGCGATGACGATGTGTGTTGTTCACCTTGGTAAAATAATAATAATAATAATAACTAGAAAGGTAACATTGCAAAGCAAATATATATAACGTTTATCCTCGCATATGGTCTCCTCTTAGAGTTTATGCTGTATTCGATGCGTTTTAATACGTGCGCTCATAATGGGTGTCTTACCGCATATTGTTTAAAAAAATATTCATTTTTCACTTCAAAAAAATATTATCTGTCGGAAAATAGCACTTCTGGCTGGACTTCAGAACTCCTTTAATTCTCAATTAAATACATTCATATATATGGTGACAGGAGTGTAAATCCGTCTTGCTATAAAATTGCAACATGATGTGACCCAACACCAGTTACCATGGTCATAGCCATCTAGTTCAGGTCCTTTGGTGTTTGGAAAAGAGGGAGGCAGAGCAAAACAATAAGTTTCCCTTCGGTTAACATAATAACATCGGTTTATACATGTAGTTCCGATTCAAAATTCTGACAAAAGGCAATTTCTCACCTGCTCGTAATTTTTCAAGGCCGCCATGTTTATTCTGATGACGTAATCATGACTGTCGATCTCGTTCCCACAGTTGCTTTTGAGAAGAATCCCGCCATTGCCGACGAGTGCACATGTGCCGTAATGACCAACCGGTGTGTCCGTTGAACAGGCTTTCCGTCTTTTACACTTTTTACGGTTTTTGTATCGGGAAAAGTACGCAAAGCTCTCAGACGTTCTCAGTTTTTGTAATGACTCGTTAAGTCTGGAAAGGAAATTGCTTGCATTAATGTACATTACCGATCTGGACTCCATTTAAAAATGTATTCATAAAAGTATATTTGCCTTAGAAAAAGCCAATGTTCAATTTTACTCAACCAAAATGTAAAGTTAATTGACTCTCGTTAGTATTTCAGTTAATTTGTGATTTTTATTTGTTATGTTTAAGGAGAAGGGCTAGTATAAGCCTAAAAGGCCTCCTCTCTTCTCCTGCACAGTGTTTTTTTATTTAATTTACTTCACTTTGTATGTTGTATTTTTGTGCGAACAACAACAACAACAACAATAGCTATATATATTTAGTAGGTAATACAATATGTTACGTATATTGAATGACATCTTTTTTTTTGTTTCTAAAATGTCATGATGGATATTCGGATGCCATGTGATATAGCTTTTGTTCTTATGTTTTATTCTTCAAAAGATCAAATTCAGATACTATCCATGATGTTAGAAAGCTAAATTTTAACCACCTTGTGAGATTCTTTTCCACGTTGATGTCCAACGTCCTCTTCCTGGCAATTGTTGACCGGAATGGTTTTGTTACTTTAGGCGCCCTGGACAAACAGATAGGTAATAAACAGTAGTTATTTTATGATGTAAATATTAACATGGTAACAATAGCTTCTAGTATTAGAAGAATTAAGTTGTTGTATCAAGCTTACGTTGTTTAGACGCAAACGGTTATACTGCAAAAGAGTAACAATTGCAGATACTCTCATATATTTATTTTCTCCAGAAGCTTAAAGGCATCCAATACAGTAGGTGGGTAGGGTTAATGATAAGGAAGGTGAAGTTCTATAATGAGCCTTATGGTGGATTCCTACATTACTGGACTAGACCTGAACTTATTTATTTGTGAACAGGATAACTCGAGATAGAATGGATGGATGTGATAAAACTTATTGTCAATATTGAAGAATTTCTTCAGACATTAACGTTCACTATATATCTATTGATAGGTGGGTATGAGCTAAGGAACTTGTCTTACGAGGATGTTGTATAATTTTAAATCTGAAGTAGGTGACATTGTCACACAAGCTATATGAAACAACTGGACTGTGAGTCACCTTGTAGTTGTCTCTGTAGTGCTGCTGGCTGCAAGTATGTGAGAGTCCGACAGTGTCTGTCTCAGCAGGATCCTACTCTGTATTGCCTTTACACTGAAACTGGACCAACAGAAAACTTCATTCACCATGATGATATATTTTCGTCGAAAATGTGTTATTAGCAATATGTGCTACAGTACGGCAATGTAAGACAATAACTAACATTGATATTCCTTGCATTAACTACAAGGGAACGCAAAGACTTGTTGTGTGAATGTATCACCTAATATAGAAGTTGGAACTAATAATGGACAAAATAGCGAATCAGTAATACTTTAATTTGAAGTCACTTTCAAAGATCGACTTCTTTCTTGACTATTTTTGTATGAATTGTATCATGAATGCATTTACAAAGATGCACGTATAGGTGATCAATTCGTAGTCTAAACGTACGTTCAAATACAATAATTTAGCTCTATATATCATTTGAAGTTAAGTTGTACTCACTTTGTTGATGTGATGTCAAAAGTTGCGAAGTAGTAGTACAAAATCACCGACAACGTGAAAAGAACAGCCAGCATAAAAAACGACATGGGCCGGGACGGAACCTCCATGTTGTACAATACTTCTCTTTACACTACAGATACAGACAACCCGTCCGACCACCTCAGTCAGCCCATGATAATCACGGTAGACAGCAAATAACAAAACTCAAATAGCAAATAGCAAAACACCGACGTTTTACTAACTATTCCCCCTGCGTGACAATGAAAGAGGAACACCGACATCTTTCTAAGACAGAGGGAGGATTTGAAGAAACGCATACAAAACGCTAAGGATATGACACTTGAGTTGAGATCAGCTAACAGAATGAAAGAGTTACTCGAGAATACTACACATGTAGCTAGTATATATATATACTTGTCAGCCATGACGTGAGGCACTTTGGGCGATGCCATTCTTCTGACGGGGGTCAATATGTGAGACTGTAGAAAAACTGTAGCCCCTAGAAGGCTTCGGGAAAGAGCAGCTGGAAAGAGCAAGTAAGTAAGTACAAACTTGCTAAACAAACACTTTAACTGACAATCTGTAAATACCGACGTGACCTCATGAATTGTATTATATATAGAAGACTATACACTTATTATCACGCTTATATTTATTGATTTAAACCGAATTTGATTGTCTATTTTAACTCCTTAGCGTTTTTAACCTATTTCATTGTAAATGTCTGTCAATTCAGACTTATTGTCTGCAAGAAGGTGTGTGAATAAAGTTTCAAAGAAATTGGTCAAATAGACAGATGATATGCGCCTTGTTTTCGGCCTTAGCATCAGAAGTGTAATACTATGTATTAAAAAATGCAGCAAATTGGCAAAATAATTACTTTTAATTTTCATAATACCTCCGAAAACAACTGATGTAGCATTACACTTTTATTTCAAACCTTACTTCATACATGTATCTTTCAGGTGTAAATTTTATACCCCATTCTGATGTGAAAAAACATAATGATTCACTGGATGCTGTTACTGTTAGTTCCCCCACCCCTAAGTAAATTTTCAAACATTCTGACTGCACTTTTTTTTTTTGTATACTGGAGGTCCTAAAACAGCACAGCTATCATGTGCTGCAATTATTCTCTTCCAGTATCTGCTTGGAGACTAGTGACTTAGTTTACATTGTGACTTTAATAGTGTGATTACTAAGAGCCAGTGATGAAGTAAGAATTAACAAGTTATGCCTCTTGTACATTGTTTCTTATGTACAAACAATTCTACAACATGGCTACCTCTTTGCTTGTCACAAGATAGCACTACAAGTTAATATTGACTTACATCAATTACTATTAACTCATGTTGGTTAATATTGACAAAACAGATGTTATCTGTACCTTATATGTATTTACAGCAATATATATATGTG